ACAAGTATATGCTCACATGCTAAGTAATTCACATTTTTTGCATTCTCCTTTGAGTACCTGTTTATATGATATCATATGAGAATTATTGTGATAGATAATTAATGAAAACATTGTTGCTTTTCAGGTAATGTGTGAGATGAAAATGCTTAATCTAAATTAATGACATTGTGATTTTTCAGTTTCCCAGTTTTGCTTAATGACATTCAGTTATATATGAGTTTTAAGTTACATAAATTGAGACCTGCGATAGTGTGTAAGTATATGGTCACATGCTAAGTAATTCACATTTTTCCTTTTTTCTTTTTTTTTTCTTTTTTTTTTTTTTTTTTTTTTTTTTTTTTTTTTTTTTTTTACATTTCAGTTATATATGGAGTTTTAAGTTACATTAAATTGAGAATGCGATAGTGTGTAAGTATATGGTCACATGCTAAGTAATTCACATTTTTCCTTTTTTCTTTTTTTTTTTTCTTTTTTTTTTTTTTTTTTTTTTTTTTTTTTTTTTTTTGAGATTTTTACAGGAATAGAAAAGCTAGGAGAGATCGTTGATACTAATTATTTGTTGATATTTATTCTCATATTGTAAAGTGTTCTGATTGACAATTACTGATAACATAGTAATTTTTCATTTAATGTGCGAGATGGAAATTCCTTTTTTTTTTTTTTTTTTTTTTTTTTTTTTTTTTTTTTTTTTTTTTTTTTTTTTTTGAGTATTTTTACAGGAATAGAAAGCTAGAGAGATCTTGATACTAATATTTGTGATATTATTCTATATGTAAAGTGTTCTGATTGACAATTAACTTGATAACATAGTAATTTTTCATGTAATGTGCGAGATGGAAATTCCTAATATATATGATATTATATATGAAAAGTGTTCTGATTGAAAACTAACCCGATAACATTGTAATTTTCAAGTAATGTGTGAGATGGAAATTCCTAATTTATAATAGGTTCAGCTTCCCAGTTTAGCTTAATTAGCATTGGGTTATTTTTTGTTTGTGTTATAGTGTGATTAAATGACCTTATGACTTTTGCCTATTTATATCTGAAAATTTCATATCCTTTGATCTCAGAAAGAGAGAACATCTTGTATTCTTTAAATGATTGCATCAAATATTTAATTTTTAAATGATTGCATCAAATGATTACCTTCCTTAATGAACTTTATTGCTTCCAGGTCGAAGTTGGAAAGCTTCTGAACTACGCCTGAAGTCTTGGGATGATCTTCAGAAGTTATGGTATGTTCTATTAAAGGAGAAAAACATGCTGATGACTCAACGCCAGATGCTCCATGCCCAAAACCTAAGGTTTCCAAATCCAGAGCGTTTACCTAAGGTAGAGCTTAGTTTTTCTTGCCTGGTATTCAGTATAGCATATGAATGTGGGCCTTTGGTTTCTCTCAGCTCTTTAAACATTGTCTTTGATCTTCTGGTGTCTGTAGCTAATTTGAATGAGATGACAATGTACTATTAAACAGTAAATTACTAAAAAGGAATGTATTGCTAGCTAAGCTACCTTCATTTGATTACATCTCCCCACCAGAATTTTTTTGCTGGTTGTATACTGGTCATCTAAAAATATTTTTTCACCAGATGTTGGCCGATTATAATTCTTCCACTTTATCCTGACCTACTAAGTTTATGAATAAAAGGTTGAAGGAGAACCGTTGGGGAGGGCTAAATATTTGCAGCCTTTCCTTGCTTTGCTAGAAGGTTGTCTCCCTGGTTTGAGTCCTTGGCACTAGCTTGCAATGCAGCAATCTTAGCCTTGAACCATGGCTGGTCCTATTTGGCATTGTGTTGTAACTACAACTGAGGAAAAAAAAATATTGTGATTATGTTGACTATAGCCAATTAAAACTTATTCTGAAGGCAGAATTGACATTTTTTATCATAAACACTCAACTGCTAAACAAAAATTTCAAACTTCTTTTTTACAAGAACATTAAACATATGCTTTCCAAAAGCATTTTGAATTTCAATGCCAAATAAATAGTAAGTCTACAAATGAAACAACAATAAAATCATTTGGAATGTTCCAGAAATCAGTTACTTTGAGTAAATAAGATAAGATTGACCCAGCAGATATTTTCCTCTCTCACTTGGGAACTCTACGGATGAAGTACCACCATTTAGCTTAAAAACAGCAACATAAAACTGCGGAAATTGTCTGCTAATTTATTTACAGATATTTCCTGTAAACATCTAAATTACACAAAGTATTACTTAGGAGTATTAAGATCATAGTTGTAAGTGTCCTAGTATTTCTGATTTCTAAGAAGATAACATCCTTTATGTCATTCAATATAAGCAAAGGCATTGAGTTCATGGCTTTGCTGGCTTGCCTGGTGGGTATTTATCAATGTTGTATGAGCGCTTGAATGAAATTTTTTTTTCACCTTCTTTCACCTTCCTTTGGAAACTGCTGTAATATTCTAGCAATATCCAAATTGTGGGAAGTATCTTGGGCATATGTCCTTAGGTTTGCATGCCTTAGCTGGATGTCAGTGAACATTAGGTAGGGAGCATATATGTGATGTTTGGAGTTGGAGTTTATGAATGGCCCCCAGTGGAAGTTTTAGTAATCTGCTTCCTTGCTGATGACAGCCAGCAGAGGATGCAATATTACAGCTCACATTTGGTGACACTGTTCATTCTGCTGGACTGTAAATATATTAGCTGCAATAAGTATGATACCTGAAGTGGTTTGTCCACTACTTCAGGCTGAAATCCCAATTATTATGGCTGATCCTTTGGCATTTGATCCATAAAAAGTTTATTATACATTGAAATTTTGTTGATGGGATCTAGTATCCACATAACGTTTCATTTTATGTTCATTATTTCTATATGCTTTTTTAATGTGTTACTTGCAATGACACATGAAGTGCTGTAATTGGATTATCTTCACTTATGTTGTAACTATTATCAATAAGCACAAAGTGGATGACATATTTCTTGAATATTACATCTCTTTGAATTAAATATGTCATATCATGAATCCAATACTATCTTTCTCCCTCTATCTATGTATCAGTCCGCCTAGAGTCCAGCTGTTTATTATGTTGTTCAATGGTTGATGAAATTCAGGTGAGGAAGTCTATGTGTCGAATCAAGCATGTACTCACTGAGAGAGCAATTGAAGAGCCAGATCCCAGGAGGTCAGCTGAGATGAAGAGGATGATAAATGCTTTGTGAAGACTTCCAAATTCCTGGAGGTGCTGGCTTGTTGGTGGGATGTGATATTGCTGTATTTTCCTTTGTGTAAGGTTACATCCCCCTAATAGTTAATGCAGTTTCATAATATCATCAGCTACTTGATTATGAACTTCTTTGATTCTTTGTTTTTGTCTGTGAGAAGTATAGTTGAAGGGAGTGTAACAAGTACCAAAAACATAATTACGAGATAGGTCGGCTTCTGCTGGTGATTGACGAATATTTATGTCGGTTATCTTTGACAATTTTTATCTTCAAACTTTAATGAAACTCGTCCTTCTTTCTTTATATTGCCTGAAATTTCTCTTTGCAATAGTCATTTTGGGTTCTCATTTGTGGTTCATTATTCCTTACATAATCTTCCGGACTAAAAAATATTCTCAAAGTTGTGTTACTGATTCATTCGTGTCTGAGGGCATATTGATTAAGAGTCATCCATGAAGTGCTATCATGTGTCCTATTTATTGTTCTGACTTCTGAGTATCCAGGCAATTCCGATGCATGTGTGCTTTGAAATGATAAATAAGTGATGCTAGAGTTTGAAATATCTCACGTCCATGACAAATCCATGCATAATATTTTCCCACATGACGGGATTAGCAACAATTGTGTTCTCTGCAGATTTCATGCCTATGCCTCCCAGTTGCAAAGTTAACAATTGATGCTTCTTTTCAGCTTCTCATTCCCTTCCAATAATTGTAGAGGTGTATCAAATATGTAGATTGCTAAATAGTAATATTGTAGTTCTTACGCTAACACTGAAATTTTTTGTTAAGCTTTCAAGTTTTATATATTTTAGTTACTATTATTGTGATCATTTTTTGTCATACAGCAAGCACTAGTCTGTGCGAAATCTGAGATGGTTGCATTTCTTTCCATATTCATTTTGCCATCATTCTGATTCTATATTCTAGATCTCAAGATTATTATACATCCACATGATCCTTTACATTATTGCTGTGGATACTTGATCCAAGCATGTGAAGACGTGTATATTTGAAAGATGAAATCATATACTTAATGGTTTAACTGTCGGCCAATTTGAGGACAAATGTACCATCACCACTTATTTGGTTAGGGAACAATACACCATTTCACTTATCTCAGGTCGCAGTTTTTGTAACAGATTATGGTGAACAGGCTTCAAATTTCATCAGATGTAACTGTTGTAAACTCTAGATTTTAAATTTTTAATGGAGATCTTACATCATCTTTTTTATGGCTCAGATGTGATTGTAATTGCATTTATACAACTAATCAAGTAACTTTGATCTGAATGAGTAGATGAGGATTGAGTAAATTGAAACTGATAGTTTCAAAACCATTTAAAAACGGTATTCCACTTTTTTTATAATTGGAACCGCATGATCATGCCTATTTTATTTCATATGATTTTCTTTATAAGCTATAAAAATACTACGAGTTACACAACAATGATAGCTCTTATCTTAACTTGCTAAATTAGTGAAAACTCTTATTGTCTAAAAAGACTTGAACTCAGATCTCCACTCTTTACATAAGTAAAAAGATCAATCATACTACACTCAATTGTAAATATCTTTTGATTGATTGGTAATATGAATCCTACAAGATTACAAATTCTTTTTATAATTTTCTCTTTTTTTATAATTTGAAGGTTTGTTCATTTATGAGAATCAACTTACAAGATCAAGGAGGGTGTACCTTTATTCACGAGTCATCACTAGAAGATAATTACAGAATACTCATGAATAAAGAAGAGCAAATTTGAAGCAATATGACTTATTTAATTTCTACTTGAGATAGTTAAAATGAAAAATCTATTTTACCCTTATTGAAAGAGACATTTAATTTTAAATAAAAATAATAATACAAACATTGTCATTATCATGGTGATTGCTTTCTGATAGTTTTCCTAGCCAATGGTTTTCTACTGTCACAATTTGTTACAATCAATGGACGCTATGTTGAACTTTCATGGCCACCAGCAGTCTCTACTTTCACTGAGCAATAACGCATCAGTTGAACAAATCGATTTTGATAAATCTATAGTCGTTTTCGCTGTTTGACAAGCCGCTGCAAATTCTATCTTACAAGCGGTATGAGCAAGTACTCGGCATAAAATAGCTGCATGAGAAAGGAGCATCACAGATTAACTTGCAAAATTAACAAAAAATACAGAAATTATTCTTGCATTAAGGTATGTACTTAATTACATTACACTCCGTTACAGGTTACCAAAGATTAGCCTTACTACATACTTATTGCTAATCATTCATGATTAACACATAACTATGGCTACCAGAACATGCCAGTTAAGCTAGGCAGGAACATTTACAGGATCTCTAATGCGGACTAGACTAAATCAGGTCTATGTGTCCGGCTCTTGATAAATCAGGACAATAAGTTATTAAAGAAAGGTTTGTTTTCTTACTTAAAAGAAAGGTTTGTTTAAGAAAATGATCAAAATGGTACTAGAAAAAGTACGGTGCACATATTTATGTTTGAACTCAGTTTGGCTCTAGAGCAAAAGGAAAGCACGATTTGGATTCTTAAATCAAGTCCCATCAAACAGGGAGAGGAACTAATCTGTCTTTTCAGTACATTCTATCAACATATTATTTATTCATTAATTTATTTGGTTTGAATTAACATATTGTTCCTGTAATATTTACCATCAGTGAGAGACTGACTTACCTTCCAAATAAACATATAGCAGGAAGTTATTGCAGCTTTGCTCTTGAGATCAACAGATTTGGCACGGTTCCATAGTATTGCAGCCAAGATAGCATGCCCCACAACCTAAAAAACCCAATACAAGTTTGAAACAAAAACATAGGCCAGAGTTGAAATCAATTAATGATCTCACCATTCTATATGACTACTTCAAACATATACCATCACAAAAATATTTACTTAAATGTTTGAGAGATCCCTCATTCCCATTCCAGCTCTTGTAAAAATAAAATAATCCCCCTTATTTTCTGAAACATTAAAATGAAGGCTGTTCATAAACCATATAGGACTTGAGTGGTTTAGAAAAGCTTTAAAAGTATGCACATTAATAACATAATTGATAACTTGCGGCTGCAACAGAAGTCATATCTCATAAAACAAAAGGACGGCTGGTTATAACAACAAAACTCATAAGGTTAATTTCACCTAGAGCTTTGAGCTTATCACTATATTTCAAAATGTTGCCAGTAACTTAAATTTGTAACTTAAACTCACCAAACTTACCAAAAGCATTGCAAACTCCTACCATGATTATCAAACCCATCACTCGAAATGCAGAAATAATCACCACATCAGCATATTTTAATGAATGATTTGCCCAAATCATAAAAATACTATGATACTCCCCCTCTCGCTCTCTCATCATGTTCCTCTATTTATTGTGCTCTATCATGTCACAACTGGACAGTTAGATACTTTCCTTCCTCGAGCGTGTCAAGGGATCAGACCAAGATGGAGAGTCGGGCCCGTCTGATAAGGATCAAATGGCCAAGGCCAACCTGATACCATTACATCTGGTGGTATCGAGACAGGGCAGTTTTGATTGGGATCTTGACGAGGCAGGCCCTGGTGAATAGGACTATGAGAGAAAGTAGAGAGAAAAGGAGAATAACTAGGACAAAAACCAGAGGTGGGCAAGACTGGCATCTGAATTGAGTTCTGAAAAGGTAGCTGATGTAAACAGTGATGTGTTTAATGTGTGCTTATAGATCAATTTGACTTCTCCTAGGAAATGGACCAATATAGGCTGAGCTTATTATAATTAGTTGTTGGATTATTAAAATACTTACACTCACATTAATCCCGTGTGAGGGCAGAAGACAGACAAGATTGGAAGATTGGAAAGAAGAAAGAGAGAGGAGAGAGTGTGCTTTTTAGTTGTGGGCCATTTGTATCAAAATTATCATCAGAAAATGATGCCATGGTTACCATGTCAACATTCGGAGAAGCTTCGTCAGATTTAGCCATTTGTTAGTGTTATTGTAGTAGATTTATTAATTTAATGATTTTGAAGTTACAAATTGAAGTTGAGAGGAAGAGCCAGAACAAGGGGAAAACTTTCAAGGTCAAGAGTTACAGTAAGCCAAACTTGCACTTGCAGGAAGTAATTTTATCCAAACTCAGGAAAAGGATTTCACCCGCTTGTTTAACTAAGATTTACAAAATAACATTCTATAAAAGGAAGATACATTCATGCTGCATAATTATATGAACTTTTATTATTTATCCCATCAGCAGAAACAGAATTCCCTGAGCTGCATTGAATTCTAACCCTTTTTTCTTAACATATCTAAAGCTAAAATAGGGAAAAGATCTGTACCTTCAATACAAACACCAAAAACATGTACGCACATAAAAAACATGAAATACATGCAGAATGTGTAAACAACAGATTAAGAAACAGAGGAGAAGCATAGATTACCGTGACACACTTGCTCCAGGTATAGGAAGATGCTGCGCCAACTAAAATAGCAACACCATAAGCTATTTCAAGCAGAGAAATGCAGATCCAGAAAACCTGCAATGGTAAGTTAGGGTAAGAAAAAAGATGTTACTAAAACTATTGGTTAACAGGAGTTTTCATTTACAGAATGTACCCTCTCTTGGCCCAAGCGTACTGTAAAGGATTGAATACCAAATATCTTATCCCCTTCAATATCAGGAATATCCTACACATAACATAATGCAGTTTAAGTTGAAAGCAATAAAATATGAAGGCAGCTACGTGCAAAATTTTCCTCCTAAATTTCCAGAGATTTTGAAGTTAAACATAAATACCATTTACCTTGAATAATGCTATAACAACTGAAAAGAAGCTCATGAAAGCAGTTGCAAATATTAGAGGCCTGGAAAAGACAGCAGCTCTTCTGTACACATGGGTCTGGAAAAGATCAGCATGTTAATATTTAGGCGCCTAAACATCACTGGCAACATAATGACAACAAGCTTAAAAATTTCACCACTCATGCATGCCAGGCACTACATTACATTTGAGCATCTATCTTATAAAAGTTTGACTTAAAAAGTACCTGCATATGCAGAAAAAAGGCAAGTTGAACAATCACTGCTCGAACAGCTAGGATGCACATTGCTGCAATAAATGCAGACCTTTTCCATCTCAATAGTGGCAACTGTTATTGAAAAAAAAAAGTAAGAAATCTCATTTGATTTTGATTTAAAAAAAAAAAAAAAAAAAAAATCACTGCTCGACAGCTAGGATGCACATTGCTGCAATTAAATGCAGACCTTTTCCATCTCAATAGTGCCAAACTGTTATTGGAAAAAAAAAAGTAAAGAAATCTCATTTGATTTTCGATTTAAAAAAAAAAAAAAAAAAAAAAAAAAATTGATCGACATTTCATAAAAGAAAATGGAAGAATTGCATCTCCGAAAGGAGAGGATTCAACCTCGTTTTGAGATAACAAAGCAGCCATTAGTATTGCTCAGATTCCAGTTCAATATGATCAGGCAAAGCACATAGAAATTAATCGAAATTTCATAAAAGAAAAAGTTATCCAAGGTGTTTTGAAACTTACTCATGTTACCTCGGATAATCAGCTTGCAGATGTTCTTACTAAAGGGCTTAACAGTAGACAATTTCATAATTTTATTTGCAAGTTGGGCATGTGTAATATCTATGCACCAACTTGTGGAGGAGTGTTGACTTAGAGGATTTTTAGGATTCTTGATTTCTTTCCTCCATTATATATTTCCTATTTAGTTGTAGGCTTATGTGTATATATACACTAATGTAAATCACAGTTAAAGACCTTTCAATTCATAGATATGGATTTCGAACCTATGAATGGGGATATTCTCGAAACTCACAAAGAAAAAAGGAAGTGAGTTAGACAAAAAGAAAAGAAACTTGGACAAAAAAACAAGTAACTTGGACAAAAAGAAACGAAGTGACTTAGACTTAGACAATCATATTATAAATGAATTCTAAATTAAATTGAATTTATTAATTCTATTTATTACTATTTATATTCTATTTATTTATTACTATTTATTATATTCTAATTTATTATATTATAGAATTATATAATATATAATTCATATATAATTCATATACATATAATTAATATAATTAAATTAATAGAAAATTGAATAGAAAAAAATGGAATAGAAAATATATTTAATAATATATTTAATAATTTAATATTAAATTTTAATATTAAATATATTTAATAATATATTTTAATAATATATTTATTTAATATAAAATAGAAAATGAATATAATTAATAATAAATAAATATAATAAATAATATAAATAATAGAATTAATAGAATATAAATAATAGAATTAATAGAATATAAATAATAGAATTAATAGAATTAGATTCTAATAAAATTAGATTCTAATAAAATTAGATTATATAATTAGAATTAGATATAATAATTAGATTATATGATTATATAGAATTCGAAAGAGAATAGACTTCGAAATTCGAAATAATAATATATATATTACAATGTACCAATTTATGACAGCTAATTACAGCTAATAACAGGCTAATCATAACACAACAACAACAGCTAATCATTAACACATGCTACAAACAGTGCTAATTCATAACACAGCCACAGCATCTAATTTCATAACACAGCTACAGCATCTTAAATCATAACACAGCTACTAGCAAGCTAAATCATAACACAGCTAAGTTACAACTGACACAGCTAAGTACAACTAATGACAGCTAACAACAGCTAATCATAACAATCATAACACTCCCCCTCAAGCTGGAGCATACATGTTGTATGTTCCTAGCTTGTCACAAATGTATTCAATTCGAGGTCCTCGTAAAGATTTGGTCAATATATCTGCCAATTGATCGTTCGAACTGACAAAGGAAGTAGATATGCATCCTGACTCGATCTTTTGTCTGATGAAATGACAATCGATCTCAATATGTTTCGTTCTTTCATGAAATATTGGATTTGAGGCAATATGGAGTGCTGCTTGATTGTCACATATCAGTGTAATCTGTTTTATTTCTCCACACTTTAATTCTTGAAGAAGTTGCTTGAGCCAAACAAGTTCACAAGTGGCTAATGCCATGACTCGATACTCTGCTTCTGCGCTTGACCTAGCCACAACATCCTGCTTTTTACTTTTCCATGATATCAAATTTCCTCTAATCATGATAAAATAACCAGAAGTGGACCGTCTGTCAGAGCAGAGGGAGAAACCTGCCCAATCGCATCGAATAAGCCAAACCACTTCTGAAATGACCCTTTTCTCATTATAACAGACCTTGCCAGAGTTCCTTTGATATATCTCAGAGAATGCGAACAACTGCATCCCCAATGACTATCACATGGAGACTGAAGAAATTGACTAACCACACTCACAGCAAAAAGAAATATCCGGTCGTGTAATAGTAAGGATAGTTTAATTTTTTCCAACAGAGCCTCCCGATATCTGCCAGGATCTTTAAATTGCGCTCCCCTGTCCTGGAATAAGTTTTACATGGAATAAGTTTTACATTGGGATCCATAGGGGTATCCATAGGTTTGCAATTCATCATACCTGTTTCTTCTAGTATATCAAGAGCATACTTTCTTTGTGAGATTGCAACTCCAATCTTGGACTGTGCTACCTCAATCCTAAGAAAACATTTTAGCTTTCCCAAATCTTTAGTTTGAAAGTTGTTGAATAAATGCTGCTTTAGTTGAGAAATCCCTTCATGATCATTGCCAGTTATGACAATATCATCAACATAAACAACTAGATAAGTACATTTCCCATGATTTTCATGTCGATAGAAGACTGAATGATCAACGTCACTTCGACGCATGCCAAATTTCTGGACAACAGCACTAAATCTTCCAAACCATGCACGTGGAGATTGTTTCAAGCCATAGAGAGATCGACATAGTCGACATACCAAACCAGACTCCCCCTGAGCAACAAAACCATGAGGTTGCTCCATATATACTTCCTCGGTCAATTCCCCATGTAAGAAAGCATTTTTGATGTCAAGTTGATGAAGGGGCCATTGATAGATAGCTGCCAAAGAAAGAAGAAGACGAACAGAGGCTATTTTGGCCATAGGGGAAAAAGTATCACTATAATCAAGGCCATAAACTTGTGTGTACCCCTTTGCCACAAGCTTAGCTTTTAACCTATCAATTTTACCATATGGTCCAATTTTAATCGTGTAAACCCATCGACAGCCAACAGTGCTCTTCCCAGGAGGCAAAGAAACAAGTTCCCATGTACCATTATTATGCAAAGCAGTCATCTCCTCAGTCAGCAAAGCAGTCATCTCCTCAGTCATAGCAGCAGACCAACCAGGATGGTTAAGTGCTTCACTGACACTCTTAGGGATAGAAACAGTAGACAATGTAGAGATAAAGGCATAATATGAAGGAGATAAACGGTGATAGCTCAAAAAATTGTAAATAGGATGAGAATTACGAGTGGAGCGAATACCTTTGCGAAGGGCAATGGGAGCATTGTCTGCCTCTGTGTTTGGCACGATCGGTGCAGGAGATGAAATCGGAATAGGAGATGAGTCACTAGGCTGTATATCTGCATTCAAAACAGGGTTAGTAGTAGGACGACGAGAATAGACACCTGAGAGGGCGAAGATTGGAGCTGAAGGAGGAAGGAATAGTAAAGGGAGAGAAACATTGGAAACAGATTGTTCAAGCTCCGGCTGTTTAGAAAAAATTAAGGGTAGTTTCAAGAACAGAAACGTTCAGCGGAGATTAAAAACTTGGAAGACGATTGGGGTTCATAAACACTGTACCTTTCTGGAAAACGAGGATATCCTAAGAAAATGCACTTAATGGACTTTGGTTGAAGCTTTGTTGAAGCTTGTCCCTGCCAGGGGTATGATCGTGAACAAAACAAGTACTCCCAAAAACACGAAGTGGCAGATGAAAGGGGTCCTGTTTGGGAAACAAAACAGAATAAGGGCTTTGACTCTGTAAAACAGAAGAAGGCATCCTGTTAATAAGAAAACAAGCAGTAGTACTGCATCTCCCTAGAAATGAAGTGGGACTTGATTATGAAGAAGTAATGTTCGTGCTGTTTCAATAAGATGACGATTCTTTCTTTCGGCAATTCCATTCTGATGGGGTGTATAAGCTGGGGTGTATAAGCACAAGAAGATTGATGGAGAATACCCTGAGAAGACATAAACTCATTAAATTGCTGAGAAAAATATTCCCGAGCATTATCACTGCGTATATGTTTTTATGGAAACACCAAATTGAGTTCGAATTTCAGCACAGAATTTTTGAAAGATAGAGAATAATTCAGAACGACTTTTCATTAGAAACACCCATGTACAACGAGAATAGTCATCAATAAAAGTAATAAAATAATTAAATCCCAGAATTGTACTAACACGACTAGGACCCCAAATGTCTGAATGAACAATATCAAACATAGCCAAAGCTTTATTATTGACAATCTTAGGAAATGAAACACGAGATTGTTTTCCAAGTTGACAAGATTCAGTGCAAGATTCACATTCCAAACACTTTAATTTGAAGATAAAGCTAGGAAACTAAATGTTTAAGTTAAAGAAGAGACTAGGATGGACCAAAACGATTGTGTAGAGAAAGCTCAGCTTTGAACAGCAGTAGAAGCTAATGTATGTGGCTTTCAGAGGGGATTTATGTAATATGTAATACAAGCCATGTGACTTATATCCTATTCCAATCGTCTTCCCCGTACGCCGATCCTGCACAACACCATAGTTAGCTATGAAAATGACAATGCAATTAAGCTGTTCGATGATTTTGCTAACAGAAATTAAATTATAAGGACAGTCAGGGGTGTATAAGACAGATTGTAAAGTTATTGATGGAATAAGCTGAACGGTCCCAATGCCTTTAACTGTAGTTTCGGAACCATTAGCTAAGGTGACTGTGGATGAGTCTAGAGTAGGAATGAGAGTAGAGAACAATGTTTCATTACCAGAAATGTGATCGGAAGCGCCGGAATCAAGTATCCAAGGAGTACCGGTTGAGGACTGAGACAAACAAGCAATTGAAGTGCTAGAGTGCTGTAGACTAGATGACTGTTGTTGAGCTTGTTGTTTGGCTGCTTGGAATTGGGCATATTCTTCATATTCTGATCCTGTCAGAGTGATGCATTTGCTTGATGTA